TCTATGAGAATAAAATATTGTTTGGCATTCCACTCAAGTGACTTAAGGCATAGTTCATATGAATGCAAATAATATATATAAGAATAAACAATATACAACTCTTACCATTATTAGCTGGCATCGTTTCAGCAGCAGAGTTAATGCATTTAAGAGTAAATAATTAATTTACACATTTATTTATTGGCAAAATTTGCATGTGGGACAGCATTAAGCATACGCCGCATGGCACCATAATGCTCTCAATTAAAATTGCAATTAAATGAAGGAAGCAAAAATAAAAATATATTGCATTCGAATTGAATTGATTACATTTATTATGTTTGTTAAATAAAATGTAAAGCGAATATATATGTATTATATGGTAAATATATACCAAATATACATATACATATGTATATGTATAACATATTGGCAGGGCCTTAGCAATTAATCACCAAATAATTTGTTAAATTTTAATTTACTGCTTCGAGTTGCTGTAAACAGCTCAGCGAACACACACACACACATACGCATACACACACACACTCACATGAGTACTGACAGTTGCATAAGCCGTTCTGTATGCACCGTTAATTAAGATTTAATGCGCAGTCAGCCACGCCCCCATCGTTCAGCCCACATTTCCTATTGTCTATGCCTGTGTGTGTGTATGTGTGTGTATGTGCATGTGTTTGTGCGTAATTAGGCGACAATAAGCATTTAATACACATTTTCTAAAGCACAATACTCGACCAAAAGTACATACATACATACACACACACACACATACATATATACACATAATCACACACACACATACACACACACATTCACGTTCACATTCGAATGATTCCAATTAGTTTTGGCCATGTTTACGCTCGAGCTTTAATGCCACGCCCATTAAGTGCACAGGCATTATGGCAATTGAGCATTTCGGCCAACTGCAATTTGTTAGCTAATTTAAGGCCAATAGCCCCAAATAAACAGCCGCTCGTCTCTGACTATTGACTATATGGTTAGATCTCACATGCCTCTAACTACTCCTGCTGCTACTCCTGCTACTCCTGCTACTCCTGCTGCTGCTGCTGCTAAGCCTCATGCCTGCTCTTACCACGACGCCCCCTCACGAGTGTAATTAAAAACTATCTGCGAAATGGAATCACACATAACATACACTGAAAAAACTCCACTCTGAGTTGGACATCTATTTAGTGGTATACAAATAGAAAACTGTTTAATTTACTCACTGATTCGCAAATGAATAGAGTTTAGTTAACTAAAAAGCG